GGTGGCTCCTGCGTGGGGATGGTTGTGCAGGGGTGGAGAGGGGAAAAGCCCTGTCAGAGCAGCTGGGCTGTGCGTGGGGCCCTGCGGGGCTTCAGGCTGCACTGAGCATGGGGACACGTGGTGGAAGAGGCGCTGCCTGCCCAGCGTGCAGGGCTTCATCCTCCCCAAACCTCCGGGAGCAGAAGGCATTTCCAGTGCTGCATTGTAAAAAAAAAGCAGGAAGCTATTCGTGAGTCAGATGAATTTGAGTGACCAGCAAAGGTTTCTGCCCCACTCTTGTCCTCAAAGCCAGATGAGATCAGAACAGATCGCTTAGAATCTTGTCCATTAAAATTCTGGAAATCCTCCAGAAAGGAGCAGATTAACAATCTGTCCAGGTAACTTGTTCCAAATTGTATTTTCTTTATGGGCATAGATAAGTGACTTGTTGAAATTGCCATAAAGCTGAGACAAAGCTGAATTTGAATCCCAGTTCAGTTCTGGCCTTCATGGATTGACCAGCACTCCTGGGCACTGAGGGAGGTTTTTCTTTTGTGACCCACCAGCAGTTAGTGGGGCTGTGATGAAGCTTTTTCTGTGCTTTCTTTTAGGCATGATTCTCACCTTAAAGGCTATGGGGCTTCAAAGATGTGTTTTCCTAGGGCCACCGAAGCTGGTAAGTAGGGGAAGTTTGCAGAAGGAAGAGTGAACCCTTCCAAGGTTAAAGCTTACCTGGGAGTTAGAGGAGCTGGTGTCACAGGAGTGAATCCTTGTACAGGTGTAAAATGCTGCTCTGGGTTAGTGCCAGCCCGAAGGTTCTGCCAGAAGGGCTGGCTTCAAAAGGCAAATCTTCAGTTACACATGAGACAGCATCACACTTCTGCTCCTTAAAACTGTCTTGTCAGCTCATATCCTGGTGAATCATGTGTCCTTTGTTCTCCTCTCTGCTCCCTCCCCATTTTCTTTCAATGAAACTTGGTCTCTGATCTCCTTAACGTGACCCTTGACAGCCTGACATGTCTAGGCTGAAAATTTCCAATCCTCAGCATTGTTTTAGTTCCTTGCAACATCTGCTGACTAATTATATTGATGCAAGGCATGGGGAGAGTGGTTCTTTCTTTTCCTTTCTCTGTCTACATGAGTGATGCCCACAGGAGGTGGGACACCTGCCCAGTGTTTTCTGGCTGTCTCAGTGCTGCTCTGCTTTTGCCTGGCTGGGTGTTGAGCCCTGGACTTCACTGAAAGTAGCTGTAACTCCTGAAGTGGTGCTTGTGTAACAGCACTGCTCGGGCACACCCTCCTGATGCGCTGTCTCTTTTCCAGCAAAACTACTTGAAAGCGATTCGACTCTTTCCTGGGCCCCTAAAAAGGATGGATTTGGGTATGTAGCTCAGTCATGTGTAGCTGATTTGAACATGAAACTTCTTGTTTCAGCTGGAGCTGAGATTGCATTGAACAGTAACAACTTCACAATAAATGGTGAGGCCACATCTGGAATATTGTGTCCAGTTCTGGGCCCCACAGTTCAGGAAGGACAGGGAACTGCTGGAGAGAGTCCAGCACAGAACCACCAAGATGATGAAGGGAGTGGAGCATCTCCCTGCTGAGGAAAGGCTGAGGGAGCTGGGGCTCTTTAGCTTGGAGAAGAGGAGACTGAGGGGAGACCTCATTAATGTTTATAAATATGTAAAGGGTGAATGTCATGAGGATGGAGCCAGGCTCTTCTCAGTGATGCCCAGTGGTACGACAAGGGGCAATGGGTGTGAGCTGGAACACAGGAGGTTCTGCTTAAACTTGAGAAGAAACTTCTTTCCAGTGAGGGTGACAGAGCCCTGGGACAGGCTGCCCAGGGAGGGTGTGGAGTCTCCTTCTCTGGAGCCATTCAAAACCCGCCTGGACGCCTTCCTGTGTGATCTCATTGAGGTTCCTGCTCTGGCAGGGGGGTTGGACTGGATGATCTTTTGAGGTCCCTTCCAATCCCCAATATTCTGTGATTCTGTGAAATGCCTCTGGTTTCCATCTGCTCAAAGAAAGTTTTAAGGTTTTGTTTTGATCTGATACGCTGTTCAAATCCATCACAAGAACCTCCTGGAAGATAAAAAAATGTTTTCAGCCATGTTTCTGGGAGGCTGCTGCCCATCTCTGGGACTATAGTAGACGGTGTTTGGTTTTAAAGCACTGTAAAGGCAGTTTGCTTCCAGAATCTGCCAGTGAACTTGCTTACCAGGGTATCATGGAGTACTTCTTATGAATTTTAAGAACTTCAATTATTCATTGATCTTTTCAGTTGGGCAGAGAAAGGGAAGGAGGACATTCAGCAGGTTTTGTTTAAGAAAGAAAAGAAGATATTGAAATTCTTGTAGAGTTTGAATCTTCTTATGTTAACACTGGTTTCTGGTCTCTTTCCAGCTGTGCAGTTGCACACAGAACCTGAGTATAAGGATGAGACGATGACAGTCTACCAGGTACCTCTTACAGGTGAGCACGTGGTGCTGTGGTCAGACCAGAGCAGCGCTTGTTCAGCACCTCTGCTTGAGGTGGTTAAAGGAGCAGCCTCTGTTTGCAAGCCTGAGTAAGGAGAGGTTTGTTAATTTGCACCAAGATGATGAAGGGAGTGGAGCATCTCCCTGATGAAGAAAGGCTGAGGGAGCTGGGGCTCTTTAGCTTGGAGAAGAGGAGACTGAGGGGTGACCTCATTAATGTTTATAAATATGTAAAGGGCGAATGTCAGGAGGATGGAGCCAGGCTCTTCTCAGTGATGCCCAATGGTAGGACAAGGGGCAATGGGTGTGAGCTGGAACACAGGAGGTTCTGCTTAAACTTGAGAAGGAACTTCTTTCCAGTGAGGGTGACAGAGCCCTGGGACAGGCTGCCCAGGGAGGGTGTGGAGTCTCCTTCTCTGGAGACATTCAAGACCCGCCTGGACACCTTCCTGTGTGATCTCATTGAGGTTCCTGCTCTGGCAGGGGGATTGGACTGGATGATCTTTTGAGGTCCCTTCCAATCTCCAACATCCTGTGATTCTGTGACTTGAGAGAGTTTAGCAGTTTTGAGAGAATCTGGAGGACTTGGATGATGGATGGCTCCAGAGAAAGTGACTGGAGTACGCAAGCGCAAGTCACGCTGAGGGGAGGAGCTCTGTATTCTCGTGCAGTTTAAACATCATTGTCATGGAAGAGGGAAAGCTACTTATGCTTTTCTTACCTGTCACTTTTGATTGAGTGATCTTTGTCTGGTTTTATTGGATTTGGGACAGGAAAACCCCTAGCTGCTGAAAGTCCATTGCCTGAGAGTCCTGGAGCATCAACCCAAGGTGGAAACAGCCCTAAAGAGGATGCAGAGCCTGGATCCCCAAGAGCTGCACAGCAAAGCTTGGAGGAGGGCAAGGAAAAAGAAAGCCCAAAGAAAACAGGTGAAAAAATTGAACAACCTTTTTAACCTTAATGAAATAACACCAAATTAAGGATGTGCATTTGTCCTCTGAGCCGTTTGCTGTCTGAGAGCCAAGTCTGTAGAGAAGCTCAGCTGCAGGATTACATGGAGCAGAATGAGTTTTGGTACTTTGGAAGCTGATGCAGAACTAATAAGGCATAGAAACTGTACATGATTCCTATTTGGGGTGTGACTAGTCCCTGTAATAGTTTGCCCCTGGCTGGAGGGGGTGCTCTAGCCTTTGTAATTTAATTGCAAGTAAATGTTGGGGTTGATTATTTTTCAGTCTTGGGATTTATTTTGGTTTCTTGTAGCTGAAGCAGTGGGCTCTCTGACCTTAGGTGCTTGTAGCATTTTGCTGCTGGGCCCCAAGTTGACTGGATGATCTTGTTCCTGTTAATGCTTTAGCAAACATTTGAGGTGTTTTGGCTTTAAGCAAAATGATGAGTCAGTGATGATTCTGAGTAGTTTTGCTGTATTTTCCAGATGATGAACAGAAGTGTGCAAGCAGGCATCCCGATCTGGTGATGGCTTTCCTTTGTAAAGTGAGTTTGAACACAAAGATCTCTAAATCAATGTAGAATAGAATATGGAATAGAATAGAGTGTTTCAGCTGTAAGGGACCTGCAATAATCATCTGCTCCAGCTGCCTGACCACTTCAGGGCTGACAAAAAGTGAAAGCATGTTATTAAGAGTATTGTCCAAATGCCTCTTAAACACGGACAGGCCTGGGGCATCAGCCACCTCTCTGGGAAGCCTGTTCAAGTGTCTGACCTCCCTCTCTGTGAAGAAATGCTTCCTAACGCTGCTAGGACGTTTCATCTCGCTCAATAGATTTAATTGGAGATAACATTTTCATGCAAGACTCGGAAGCTATTTTGTGATTCTACTTGTCAAAGGTCAGAGTAACTGTAGCATGAGTAGGAATGTGTAAAAACTAGAGAGTTCTTTAGAATTGTTTTATAGAGCAGCCAATTAAGAGTATCCAGGTTCTGTTCTTAATGCTTATGGTAGGGAAGTCTGTCCTGCTTACTTGGCTGCTAAAGAAGGGAGCAAGAAGCAGCAGCAGCATGATCTTGGAAACCAGAAAATCTAGTAAAAGCTCTTTGGGGGTAAATTTGACTAGTGGCTGTGTAACTTTAAAGAAAAAAAAATTCCCTTGGCTTGTGAGGAAAAACTGAAAGTGGAAGTATGTGGATCTTGTTTCCAGGTCCTCTTTATTTGGCTGATATTTCTGGTTTATTTAACTCTTTTCAGATTCACCCAAAGAAGGGAAAGTTCCTCGCAGCTAAAGCCCAGGAGATGGGCCTGCCAGTGTGAGTACGAGACCCCAGCCTGGGGGATGGGGCAACACCAGGCGTGTTGGTGTTGGCAAGTTCAATATTTCTATGGCCTGGTTTTCAGGGGAACTCCAGCCATTCTTCCCATAATTACAGCTCTCAAAAATGGAGAAAGCATCACCTTTGAGGGCAGAGAGGTAAGATGGATCTGTGCTTTCTGCTGTGGCTTTGACATCCTCCCTCTTTCACAAGGCTCCTGGGGTGATAAATCCTTTTTGTGCAGAATGTTTTGCCTACCAATAGGCATTGGGACATGTTTTTATTTTCTAACACCCATTCTTGAAGCAAGGGTTGGATAGTGATTGCCTGATTATTCCCTCTCATTTCTGCTAAGAGGTTTGTAGTAAGATAGGGTCTGGCGGCCGGAAGATATCGGGCTGTACGGAAAGGTAAGACACCCCCTCTCTCTCCTAGTAGCCAATAGCACTTAGCCTGTGATGTAAGCAGGTGGAAGTGACGTAGTGAACCCACTCTATATAGTACTGTGTCGCACAGCATTAAACGCCATTTGCAGCATCCTCATATTGGTGTCAGTGCTCATTGGCCCAGAGACGGGGTGTGTGTTTGTCTCTGTGCCTCCTCGACCGGACGGGACGTTGCGGGATAACAACTGCAACAGAGGTTGGCATGGGTTTTGATGTCTTTGAGCTTTGAGTGGCTACTTTTGGTTAGTGACTTGTCCCTGTTCCAGACCCAAGCTGTTGCTGAACGTGGCTCCTGTCAGGAGTGTGTCTGGGGCTGTTGCAGGGGGATGATTAGGGAGGTACACTTGGAGATTAGCTCATTTGTGAGGGTGGCTCCATGTCTGTGGTTTCCAGAGCTTTTTCATCTCTCCTTCCCAAAGCTGATTCAGGTCTAGGAGTGAAGTAGTGGAGTTAATCCCTGCATGTTGTAAACCTGAGGTTTGAATGCCTGTGTAGCTATCACTCCCTCCTTACTCTGTTTGCACCTCTTACAGCAAAAGAAGTTCCTGAATGGAGAGTCTTTATCTCTCAAACACCAGTCTTAGTGAGAGGCAGAGCCAGCTCAGGCTGCGCCCCAGGTGATCTGTAAGTGAGGATCCTGACCTGGGGGATGGAACTGATGTATCTTTGCATCATAAGAATTTCACAAAGCCTTTTTTTCTTAACAAGCTTTTACCACCATCTGAATCTGCTGTGGAAACCTGGAAGCTGCTAAAATTCCCTTCCTTACATTAGCTTGTGGTTTGCTCTGAGACTGGAGTTGGGATTTGTTGTCACACAGCAAACTGTGAGCAGAAAGGGAACAAGAACTGCACTGGCTGGGTTTGCTGAGCGTTGAGAGAGCCTACTTGGAGGTGCCAGGAGGAGTTGGATGTAGTGATGCAGGGAGGGCTGTGCTTCTAGCTTGGCTGTGGTGTGATGTTTGTGTATCTGCCTGCAGCTCTTTCCTGAAGAACTGTGCACCCCTACTGACCCTGGCCCGGTGTTCATTGTGCTGGAGTGTCCTCACGAGGGCTTTGTGGATGCTGTCTGTGGAAACGAGACCTTCCGAAGGTAGTGGGGCTGGGTGACCTGGAGTGTTTGGGGGGAGACATCCTTGCTGAGCTTTGCCACAGAGAAGTGCTTGTTCTGTTCTAGATGTGTCTGTTCCTGATCTCTCAGGTGTTTGACAGGCTGAGAGAGTTGGGGCTGTTCAGCCTGGAGAAGAGAAGGCTCCGGGGAGATCTTATAGCGACCTTCCAGTACCTGAAGGGGCTACAAGAAAGCTGGGGAGGGACTTTTCATAAGGGCAGTTAATGACAAAACAAGGGGAAATGGGTTTAAACTGAAAGAGGGGAGGTTTAGATGAGATATTAGGAAGAAGCTCTTCACTGTGAGGGTGGTCAGACACTGGCCCAGGTTGGCCAGAGAAGCTGTGGCTGCTCCTCCCTGGAAGTGTTGAAGGCCAGGCTGGATGAGGTTTTGAGCAACCTGGTCTAGTGGAAGGTGTCCCTGCTGCTGGCAGGGGGGTTGGAACTAGATGATCTTTAAGGTCCCTTCCAACCCAAACCAGTCTGGGATTCTATTTGGCACTGTTAAGGAGCTAGAGCTGTAAGAAAGGGCTGGTGGTGCATTTTGAGCCTTCTCAGAAGGGCAGGGCTGCGCAGGACCCGTGTGACTCTGTCAGGCCTGTCTTCCCTCGGCGGCCTCCAGAGAAGGACGTGTGCACCGGCGTCCTGCTGGGGAGCAGCGTGGAGACTGCTGCTTCCCTGGCTGGTGGAAGCCTGGACTACATGTAATGTTTCTGTAGGGATTGTGCAGAGGCGTGTTGGGCTTCTGAAAGGCCCTGCAGATGTTGTTACTCTTGGAGGAGAGGAACTGCCCTGGGTGGGAGAGTGGAGGTGACAGCAAATGGCAGGTTTGAGCCTTGTGCCTGCTGCGATGTGGAACCTGTAAATCCTGGACTGTGCTCCTGAGGTCTCTGCTCTGCCTGCTTCGGGGTGGGGCATCTGGTAGTACTGAGATGGGAGTGGGGAGGGGGTGCCAAGGTGATGGAGGACTGAAGCTCAGGTTTTCTTTCTGTATTTGAATGTGCCCCAGGTATCAGGAAGGACACTCTGAGAACCAGGTGGCCTTGGTTATTCACATGACTCCAGAGTCAGTGCTTCGAGACAGCCGCTACCAGCAGTGGCTGGAAAGGTCTGTGGTCTTCTGATTGCTTTGTTTCATCTCCCTGTTGGGCAGCAGCGTGTTCTTATGGTGCAGATCTTTTTCCTAGAGTAGAAAGAACTGTTGGGTGGGAGCTGGACTCTACAGGCTTGGATGAGATTTTAGCTAATGGCTCAGGTGTGAGCAACTAATGTCCCACTCAGTAACATGGGGCTGAAGCTGTTGTGTGTGTTATTGTCCTCTTACAGATTTGGACCTGGAACTCAGCACTTGGTGCTCAATGAGAACTCCTCCACAGTGCACAACCCACGCAGCTACAAGATCCAAACCCAGCTGAACCTCATCCACCCCGAGATCTTCCCTCTGCTTACCACCTACCAGAGCAAGGTAGGCAAGGCCTTTTGCCTGTGGAGCTCCCACCTCTGAGCAAAGAACGTGTTTAACGTCACTCTCCTCTCTGTAGGAAGAAGAGGCTGTGTGTAGCGTGCCTGTTGTGCGAGGAGAGTGCCTCCTGAAATACCACTTCAGACCCCAACAGGAGTGGCAGAGGTCAGTGAGAATCTTTAGCTTCCCAGTTTTTGAGTGTTGTCTTGAAACAGCTTTTCAGCGCGGGTCTGTGCTGAGGGAGGATGGTGTGTGGGCATCTCTTGCAGATTCTCAGTGGTGGCCATGCTGGGGTGGCTGCCACGCTATCAGCTGTTCCCTGAGGGGCATGTCCCTGTCTCTGAAAGTCTCAGACAAGGTGTAGGACGTGGATGAGTCAACCACTGACAGCATCACCTGGCCACTGGTTTGGGGCGTTGTTTCTGTCCCTCGCTCTTGGAGCCTCGTGTGCTTCTCTGTCCTTTGCTTTGACCTCGTATGCTGTGCGCCCAGCCGTGGCGGTGGCAGAGCAGGTGGTGGCAAGGGAAACTTTTCAGGGAGCCCCATGAATATCTTATCAGGCTTTCTGGGTCTTCAAATTATATCAGAGCTGAAAGCTCCAGGTGACTGAACAAGTGCTGACTTTTCCACTGGCTCTTGCTTCGTGGGCAAGGAGGCAAAGCTGTTCAATGAGGATCTTAAGGGCAGGGACCACGTGATGCAAGGGGATACCAGCTGCCATGGCTCAAATTTCTGACTCTCTTGGGCAGAATAGCAGGACCCAGATGCCAAGAAGAGTTCGTCTGAAGGCCTGTAGTACTGCATGTGCTCTGATGCAGGACCAGGACACAGGTCCCTTATGCTTCTCAGTGGTGCCTGGGGCCCTTTTGGGTCGTTGTTCCTCTCCAGGAGTCTCTGTGCTGCCTTGCAGTGCCCTCTGGTGTCTGGCAGCTCTCTGGGTCTGGACAGTGTTGGGGAACATCCTGCTTTTCCAGGAGCTTCTCCAGTTTGGTGGAATAATTATTTCTGTGGGGTAGCTCAGCCCACCCCAGCCCTTTTGATGTGCACCACACTTGTGGATGTATCTTCCCCCACTCCTCAAAATGGAACTCGGAAGGAGCATTTGACTCTGGTTTGTCACCGTAATTTGGCATTTTGCTCTGAAAAGTGCTGTTTTTTCAGTTCCTACCCTGCCCTGTCCTTTTCTTTCAGAGATGCTGTGACTGTCTGTGACCATGACGCGTTTGTCAGTGAAGCCTTGGATCTCCCTGACTTCCAGACTCGTGTGAAGGAATGCAAAGAGAGCCTGCCTGTTGTACCAGGTAAGGACCAACAACTTGTCTTGGGTCCGTGTGATAGGAAGTAGGAGATCTTGGTGACTCAGTGCTTCAGAGCCCAGGCAACGCTGTGAGCACGCAGTTTTCCTGCTGCATGAGAGGTGATGTTAAGTCCTAGAGCTGTGCAGAGGACAGACTCGGTTCAGTTGGAGTTATGCAGTCTTATGCTTCTGGTTTTCTAAGGCTGCTGGTTTGGGGATTGGGTGCTGCTGGGGGCAACTGGAGACAAAGCACCCACGTGTTATTTCTCTGAGTTGACCAGAGTTCTGCTTGTGCTGAATGCTGTCATAGCAGCCACAGCGTGAGCCCACATGTTTGGGAGAAGACTTGCTCTAGAACAGCTCCCTGCAGGGGAGCTCTCCTCTGAATTTCAGCTGGTCTGTTGGACACGAGACTTTGATGATATGACACAGCCCCACTGACTCACTGTCTGGATCCAGATCCCCGGGAGAGGCGGGGCACTGCAGGACAGGAGCCAGGTCCCTCTTGAGCTGCCAGCTCTGTCACGGGCCATGAGCAGAGCCCTTGTTTGCCAGCCTTTGGATATGTAGTTAGGTGATGTGATGTGTCTTCTTGGTGGTCCCTATTCTGTCTTCCCTGGTAAACCTTGCTGCTGTGGGAAAGCCAGAGGCTGAGGGAGGCAAAAATGAACCTAGTGTTGGGCATCTAGAACCTGGAATAACCAGACTGTTGAACTAAATGGTATCTGATGGGGCAGCATGTGGATAACATTTACTTACAAATCCTTTTCTCCAGGAAATGTGGATGCTTATCCTGAAATTGTGTTCTTGGGAACAGGATCTGCAATTCCAATGAAAATCCGGAATGTCAGTTCCACGCTGGTAAATACCAGGTAAGTCCCAGTGTCGAGCGTTCTGCGTGGAGAGGCCCAGTCTCTGAAGAGCGTTGCCTGAGGACTGTTTTGACCAGCGTGTTGATGACACAGGGAGAGTGCCACTGTTGTGGAGTCTGTAGGACTTCACTTTCAAGCACCTGTCTCTCTGTGGGTGGGGAAGACTTGAGAACCACCTGTAAACCCAGACATTTAATGTCTTCATTCATTTTGCCATCTGCCCAAGGAGCGTGTTCTTCAGGAGCACAAGACCAGAATGAGCTGTACAGACAGAACAGTCTTTCTAAAGCCTCAGCTAGTAGGACTGGAGGAGCATTTAGAGGTGGAGAGCACTGAGAGCTCTCTGCCTTCCAACCCAAAAGCTCCCCCTCTCTGAATGGGCCCTGCTCAGAGCTCATCCACCGGCCACTAAATGTCTTTGTCACTTGTCTTGCCAGCTCCACCCGATCCCTGCTCTTAGACTGTGGAGAAGGAACGTTTGGACAGCTCTGTCGCCATTATGGAGAGCAAGTTGACCAAGTGCTGTGCAACATAGTTGCTGTGTTTGTGTCTCACATGCACACGGATCATCACTCGGTAGGTTGGGTGTGTTGGAGGAGGGAGGAGGATGAAGGCTCCATGCAGGCATGCGCTGCTGTTTGGGATTCAGATGTAGCTGTAGGTGATGGGTGTAGGCTGCCCTGCTGTTAGGGCTGCAGTTTCCCTCTGTGTTCCCCAGGCACTCATGAATCTTGTCCATGTTTTTAATTTCCTCTCCCTTCCAGCAGTCCCTGCAGAGTTGCTGGGATCATCCAGAGATGTGATTTTATTATTATTATTATTATTTTCTAATTATTTTTTTAGCAGTGTCCAACCCAGGTTTCTTCAGTGCTTTGCAATAATAGTCCCAGAAGGGCCAGCTGGTCTGTTCTAGACTGGGCCTGAGCAGGACAGGCTGTTTGTTGGTCTGCTGTCTTGTGTCTGAAAACTAGACTGGGACTGAAATGTTGGGTAGAGACTTTCTGCTCTCCAGCTTTCATTTGGGAGCAGACAGAGCAGCACTGGGAAGGGCTGAGGGGCATTTGTGTGGGCTGCTGGCCACTAGCTTGAGGCTTAAGTAGTGACGGTGTTAGAGCAGCTCAGCAAGTTGCAGTTGTTGGAAAAGAAGTAATCATGTATTTCTGACTGTAGCTTTTCCAGAAACTGCAGCTCACTGAGTTGTGGCAGCACTGTTGTCACTTACACCCCAGATATTTGTGACTACAACTTTTACTGTCATGTTTCTTCTTTCGCAGGGCTTGTTGAACATCCTGATGGAGAGGCGGAGAGCTTTTGTAAGTAATGCTGTTGTTTCACTGCTCCTGAACTTGCCTTGGAGTGAGGGGAGGGGAACTTCTGAGTAGTGAAAAGCACCATTATTTCCCTAGATATTCTTCTCTCTGATTCTTTTTCCCCCTCTGCATTTGCTTTTCCAGGCAGCCCTTGGTCAGGCTTTCAGGCCTCTGTTTCTGGTAGCACCTGAACAGATCATGCCTTGGCTATATGAGTACCACAACCACTGTGAAGAGATTCTTGGAGACATCAAGTGAGTGTTCTGTGTGGTGTGGGGAAAAATGTCCTTGCTGAGTCCTTGTTCAAGACAAACTACTGTCATCCATTCCCCTCACCCCTCTGTTGAAGGAGACTCTGACTCCTTCACTGTGTGTAGAACTAGAGTGTGCAGGTTGCAAAGGGGAGGACAGGGTTTGTTTCTCAGTTGTGCTATTTAGTAGAGGTTTACATGAAGGCTTTCCTTTTCCTTAGGAAAGGGGAGTTAGGTAAATGGAAAAAAGATTCCTGGAAGAGAGAGTACTTGATGGTGGGGAAGAAGTGGTTGGATGAGTTCCTGAAGCACTGGATAGTGAAAGCAAGGGGTAAAACAGATGTGTGCACAAAAATGTCTTGTTAGTAAGGCACTGAGCTGCGAAGGAGCAATAGGAGAAATGTGCTGCTTAAAGATAAGATCAGGTTTTACTTTGTACCTGTCCTTAGTTCTCTCTTCTCCCCTCCCTCACAGAATGATTACTTCCCAGTCTCTTGTGAAAGGCTGTGAGAACATCAAACCTAAAGCCAAATGGTTTGTCAGTTCTCTGTTGGAGAACTACGACTTGGCTGAGGTAAGCTCACAAGCTGGCAGGGTCAAGTGCTGTGAGGGGCAGGAGGGGATCTGATTTCTAACACTTATATCCTCGTTCAGTTTCAGACATGTGAAGTCCAGCACTGTAAAAATGCTTTTGCATGTTCAATGGTCCACAAATCTGGCTGGAAAGTAGTCTATTCTGGTGACACAATGCCCTGCATGGCCTTAGTACGAATGGGTAGGTGACAAAAACCCTCTGCTTGAGGAGGAATCTCTTGGAGAAAGGTTTTGAACTGTTAGTATCCGAAGTGGGAGCCCCAAACACTTGGTGCTATGCCTGCAACACAGCGAGGGGCTGAGGGGGGGAAAGGGGAGTTCATGTAGGCAGTGGAACTGGTCTGTATTCAGCTGATGGTTGAATATGTGATTGTTTACCCAGGGAAGAATGCTACCCTGCTGATCCATGAAGCAACGCTGGAAGATGGCATGGAAAAAGAAGCGATAGAGAAGACACACAGGTCGGGTGTGTTCTGCTGTTTGTCACTATTAGGAAGGTGAAGATGCAGAGCTGGGCTTTGTCCTTGGAGCTGGTGACGAAGGACCTAAGTCCTGTAGATGGTTCTGGTGTGTGCAGAGCTCCTCAGTACTGAAAATGATGTGTTGCTCATTGCACCAGCTCTGTAACTCTCACAGCTCCTCTGAACATCCCCAAAGACATACGGGGAAAGCTTTTTAAGTGGACAGTAGTAACTCTACAAATAGACTAGCCCACAGGAGAGGTCCTCTGCTTGATTACATTTCAGGACTAAGCTCAGGAGGTAGAAGAGTCATACCCCCTCTAACTGCACAATTCAAACTGAGTTCTGCAGCCAGTGACACTGAGTGGTGCCCCCAGCAAAGGGAGGAGATCTGAGAGCAGCTTCTCAGAATTACATGAGAGTTCCAGTGTAAGAGAGTGGGACTTGCTGGCACCCCTGGGACATGTATTTGAATGAGGCCCTGTCCCCAGTTTGTGGAACATTTAACTGTAGAGCTCCTAGTAATTACAGCTGCTTTCCTATGCTCAGTTGTCTGGAAGTCAGAAACTTGCTACCAGTGCAGGTTGCCAGAGGAAGAGGTACCTGGGCATGCCTGCAGAGAGCCCGGACATCTTGTGCCCCATGAGTGTTAGACAGCATCTAGTGCTGGCTGCTGGTGAGACCTGACCTCAGCTGCAGAGCAGCCTGCCCCGCTCTGTTGGCGGGGCAGTGGTAGCCAGCCTGTGTGTGTCCAGGTGCCATCTTCCTGTTCCTTCTGCAGCACAACCTCCCAGGCGATTCAGACTGGGATGAAGATGAATGCAGAGTTCATCATGCTCAATCACTTCAGTCAGAGATACGCCAAGATCCCGCTGTTCAGTGAAGACTGCAGCGAGAAGGTTGGAATTGCGTTTGATCATATGAGGGTGAGTTCCCTTCTGCTCTTGTAAGGCCCCACCTGGAGCACTGCGTCCAGTTCTGGAGCCCCCAACACAAGAGAGACCTGGAGCAGCTGGAACGAGTCCAGAGGAGGCCACCAGGATGATGTGAGGGCTGGAGCAGCTCTGCTGTGAGGACAGGCTGAGAGAGTTGGGGCTGTTCAGCCTGGAGAAGAGAAGGCTCTGGGGAGATCTTATAGCGGCCTCCCAGTACCTGAAGGGGTTACAAGAAAGCTGGGGAGGGACTTTTCATAAGGGCAGTTAGTGACAAAACAAGGGGAAATGGGTTTAAGCTGAAAGAGGAAGGTGTCCCTGCTGATGGCAGGGGGGTTGGAACTAGATGATCTTTAAGGTCCCTTCCACCCCAAACCATTCTATGATTCTATGAGTTGGGAGCTTTGAACCAGGCTGTGGGAAAGGTTTCAGTATTACTTTGGAGTGATCTGATCTGGAATATTTCATTGGCACATCCACATGCCAGTTTGGGGTTTGCTATTCACTGCACTTCTCCCTCCCAGTCCTGACGCAGCTGTGAACCAGCCAAACACGATGACCCTGGGCTCCAGCAGCAACTGATAACACCAGTCAGTTATCAGTTGATAATATCAGTCAACATCAGTTAACCTTATCAACATTCTTAGAACAATTCCCACACTATTCTAGCTTCTGACAAAAAACTTAACTCTATCCTAATGAAATCAGGGCAGTGAGACAGGTACTGGTGGCTCTTGAGAAGTCAAGTCCACTCTTAACACAACAGGTACTTGTCTCGCTATTCTGTGCACGCTACTCCCAGCTGAAAACCCAATTTTGCTTCCATTCCCACTCCCTTCTCAAGTGGTGTGCTGCAGAAGACATCCAGGAGCCAAAAGCTGCAGTCGTAGCAGTGAGAATAGCTCACCAATCAATCAAAATGTCCACAGTGTCCACATCATTTCTTGTGAAGAGACTGTGAATAACTTGGCACATGGGACCTGTGGAGTGGCTGCTGTAGGGTTGGAAGCGATGACCTGCCCGTTAACATCAGTGCAGCTGCAAACCCTCGGCGAGGCCAGGGCTCCTCTGTGCTGGGAGCTGCACAGGGGCTGAGGCAGCGCCCTGCCATCTGAGCAGGGAAAAGACTGGGAGGGGAAGAAGGAAGATAAAAAGCAATTCTCATGGGGGTGCTCCTGTCTCTGATGTGTTTCAGGTACGTTTTGGTGACTTTCAGACCATCCCGAAGCTGATCCCACCTCTGAAGGCTTTGTTTGCAGATGACATAGTAGAAATGGAGGAGCGGAAGGAGAGACGGGAGATGCGCCTTCTGAAGGAGACTGCTCTCGTCTTGGACAAACTGCACGGTGGTGAGAACAAGGAAGCACCGTGCCAGAAACGGAAACAAGCCAAGAACCATCAGGAACTACCCAACAAGAAGCTTAAAACCGTAAACTGAAAGAAACTTCAAAGTTGAGGATGCCCTGCTCTCCAGGAGGTGCCCTGCTCTCTGCAGGCCTCGGGAGCGTGTGGTGCCACGGGCGCCGTGGGAGAAGGGGCTGGCCTGGGTGCCTGGGTCTGCTGGGTTTGCTGGGTTGGCAGTGGATCTCTGTGGGCTGAAGCTGTCACGCGTGCTGTCAGCAGCACGAGTCCCCGTGGCGACAGTATCTGCCCCTACAGTTCCTCTTCCTGGGTCTCACCGCTCCATGTGTCACTTTTAGCCAAAAGTTCTCTCTGAACTGTTTTAATTGTTGGGATTATGCTACAAGCTATTGATAATGTGGCAGCAGCAGCAACAGTTGTGACCTTTGCAAGAGGTCAGGTTTGAGAAGCCCTTGAGGGGCTGTGGATTTGCCAGAATAAGGTGGGAATGTCTCTGGATTATGAGGAATGTAACTGGGTATCAGAACCCAGATCACAGGAGGAAATTTCACAATAAAATGGGACCCCATTAATTTTGAGGTTGAATTAGGGATGTGGATGCTGCTGTGTTCCCATTTTATTTTGGTTTTCTCAGCTGATTTTCTTTTTTTTTTCTTCATAAGATCAGTTTTCTGAAACCTTTATTTTAGAATCTGAATAAACAACAGGAGGCTGTGTTTTGCCTAGATCGCTGATGAGGACTGAGGGAGGGAAAACAGATACCTGAGTTGCTCCAGAGAATGACCTCGGTTAACTGCTTCTGCATTTCAGCATTGGTGTAAAGACCAAGCCAGGAGCTTCACTGGTCAGTTCAAGCTGGTAGCAGCCGGGGGTGGCTTTTGAGCAGGAGCCAGCAGGAAAGCTGGCCAAGCAGGAGGATATGGGGCAGGTCTGTGGTTAACAGGAGTGGCTTTGAGGCTTTTTGTGGGTCGGTTTTGCTTCTTTGCTTATCAGTGCATGTGTTTGGAAGCAGGAA